GGCCGCTGCGGGCCGCTGCAGCGTGACGCACGGCACGTCGCGGCCCGCGGCGGCGTGGCCGGGACCTTTGCCCACGTAGGCGTGTCCGGAAGTTCCCGGACCTGGCAACATGGCGGCTTCCACGTCCGGCCTCGGCGGTGGCGTCGTCCCTGGTCCCGAAGCCGGGGACTTCCTGGCCCGGTACCGGCTGGTGTCCAACAAGCTGAAGAAGCGGTTCCTGCGGAAGCCGAACGTTGCGGAAGCCGGCGAGCAGTTCGGTCAGTTGGGCCGCGAACTGCGCGCCCAGGAGTGCTTGCCTTACGCAGCCTGGTGCCAGCTGGCAGTGGCGCGGTGCCAGCAGGCGCTCTTCCATGGGCCTGGGGAGGCGCTGGCCCTCACGGAGGCCGCACGCCTCTTTCTGCGGCAGGAGTGCGACGCTCGTCAGCGCCTGGTCTGCCCCGCCGCCTATGGCGAGCCGCTGCAAGCGGCTGCCAGCGCCTTGGGCGCCGCTGTGCGCCTGCACCTGGAGCTGGGGCAGCCGGCCGCCGCCGCCGCCCTGTGTCTGGAGCTGGCCGCCGCCTTGCGCGACTTGGGCCAGCCGGCCGCCGCCGCCGGCCACTTCCAGCGCGCCGCCCAGCTGCAGCTGCCCCTTCTGCCCTTGGCCGCTCTGCAGGCGCTGGGCGACGCCGCCTCCTGCCAGCTTCTGGCGCGCGACTACAATGGCGCCCTGGCGGTGTTCACGCGCATGCAGCTCCTAGCGCAGGAGCATGGCAGCCATCCCGTGCAGCAGCTCCAGCCTCCACCACCGCAGACCCTGCTGGCCCCGGCGCAGTCTCAGCCCCAGCCGCCGGGGCCCCAACCCGGACCTGGCGCGACCCCCTTGGTGCCCGCCGCACCGCTCCCCCCAAACCCTGGCTCTGCCTTGCCCTCTCCTGTCGCCCTGGGCGCCTTCTCGGAGGTGCTGGTGCGCTGCGAGGTGTCCCGTGTGCTGCTGCTGCTGCTCCTACAGCCACCTCCGGCCAAGCTTCTGCCCGAGCACGCCCAGACTCTGGAGAAGTACTCCTGGGAAGCTTTTGACAGCCACGGGCAGGAGAGCAGCGGCCAGCTTCCTGAGGAGCTCTTTCTGCTGCTGCAGTCCTTGGTCATGGCTACCCACGAAAAGGACATAGAAGCCGTCAAGTCACTGCAGGTGGAGATGTGGCCTCTGTTGACTGCTGAGCAGAACCACCTCCTTCACCTCGTTCTGCAAGAAACCATCTTCCCCTCAGGACAGGGGGTCTGATAATCACTTTAACCAAAGACCTTTTTGCCTGGTAGTCAACCTCATTCATCCACTTTTGCACTTAGGGGGAAATAAAAGGCTTTGATCCAGGTTCTGCATCTCCTGTTACTCATTGTAGCCATGGTAATTTAGCTGACTGAAGTTACCTCCCAAATGTGCTTTTCTACCATCGAGGAGAAGAAATAAAATGGAATATTATAGAATCACAGTGAAGGACATTTTATCTCTTCCAAAAAACTGCAACATTAAAAATGAGAATCCTTTTAATCTTCTTTCTCTTTCACCCCCATCTTTCTTTCCTAGTGAGCACTTGGAAACAACACTGGGTTTGCACAACTCTGAATAAGCTGTATGACTTTATGGTTCATTTCTTAGTCTGTTTCTGTGTGTGTTGGTGATCACTAATTTTTTCCTGTGTTTCATCTCACATGTTCATGGAAGTCATTTTATGCCTTAGAACCTTGTTGCTATACCCCCAAATCCATGATAAAACTGAATACTCCTGCCTTGAGATTAAGATTTGCCTTATCTGTAGTAGACAACTTCACCAATGTGTCACAAGGCAAAAAACAGGACTAGATTCCCAGGGTTTATTCATTCATTTCAAATATATACTTTTCCTGGTGTGGGGACCATGCTGGGTAACAAATGAATCAATCTATAGCAGAGGCCATTTGTCATATTATTACTGAGAAAATACCTAAATAAACCTTCCAGCTTCCCTTGCTCTTTAATGACTTTAAAATCACTAATTTCAGAGGTCACATGACTGGGTAATACATTTACTCCCCAGCTGGCTTTGCTGGAGATGACACCTGAGTGTGCTATAAGGATAACTGTTACTTAAGTTACTATTCAAGGGCCTGAAGGCTGCTTTTGCTGAAAACACTGACTCTTCATTTGGGCCTGCAAATGTCCCATGCATGACTGGAATGAGATGAACATACTTAGCATCTCTATCTTCACTTTGTGACTGTCTCCTTTGTTGCATCATTTTTTTAATATTTATTTATTTTTTTTAGTTCTCGGTGGACACAACATCTTTGTTGGTATGTGGTGCTGAGGATCAAACCTGGGCCGCACGCATGCCAGGCGAGCACACTACCGCTTGAGCCACATCCCCAGCCCCATGTTGCATCAGTTTTTGAGTGAGATTCTTCTCAACACCACATGTCTAAAACTGTAATATAGCGTTAACGTGACCTAGACTTACAGTTTCCCCCAGTTTCCCTTTTAAAGCTAACAACACAAGCTGCCACGACCAGAAACAGACCATGAAAGAAATGAAAACAAATATTCCTGGAAGATCTCAGCTTATTCCCAGAACAGACATGAATATTCCTGTACTTTATAAGACTTTCCCTCTCTTCATTATTCCTATCATATATCCATAACCCCTCAACGCCTTGGAGTGAGAAGCTTATTAATGAACAAACTTTACTTCCTCCATTCTTTGACCATTGAAAAAATAACTTCTTTCTCTGTGGCACTCAGCTCTCACACATTGTTTTTTTTTGTTTGTTTGTTTTTGTTTTTTCCCTGTGAGACTAACTTCCAAACCTGGGTTCAGTAACAATATGGTTGTTACTCAGATTATTGCAATGAAAATGTGTGCAGCTCATCAGTTAATCATTGTTTCTTTGCTGATTCTTTGTTTTGCAAACCTTTAAATATATTATAAGCCATTCATTTTAATTATGTTACCTACTTGCCTTGGAAGTCAAGGTTCTAGTATACTTCCAACAGGTGCATATAATCTAACATTGCAACTTTTATTTAACTCAAGTTTGTGAACTCTGAGCACAACTCTTTTTAATTGTGGAATCATATATATGCAAGGCAGGTCCTTGTTCCCCCCAAAGCATGATGACATTCCACTATGCACATGAAATTAGTATGTACAAAAAATGCATGTTAATAAAAAGTAAACCTCAAGTTTCCAAGGCTTATTGATCCAAAAGTTCCATACAAACCAGCTTAATAGATATCTCATTTGTAGTTATTTTTAATTTTTTAAAACTCTGAAATATAACTTAAAATTAAACTTTGAAAGCATGCATCCTTATACTGAAGTTATATACAATACTCATCTTTTGGAGTGATATTTACGGACATAGCTTAGTGTTAGATGTGTGTGTGTGTGTACTTGGAGAATTATAGAGGGTTGCCATCTTGAAATGGGTGGGATTCTTGGGGTATTCTGGGCATCCATTTCTACTGCAAATGTGTGAAAGTAATGGGAAGTACAGTAGAGGTCCATGTGAGATAGAATCAGTCAAACATTACTCTCTTGGTTGCCAGAAAGAGTAGTGCATACTCCTCAAAGCCTAGTCCAGCTGATTGCAAAGTGGCTATTTTTTGGTATGCTTCCCTCAACCCTACCTGTGGGCCCGAGTGACTGACAAAAATATTTAGGGGTTATGGAGCAAAAGTGGTGAAGGTTTTTGTATTGGGGCACAAGAAAAGCATATTTTGTCCTATTTAGGCCCTTGGTGACATGGAGGGAGAATCAGAGGGTCAGGAATTGGGTATATAATCATAATTCAAAATATTGTAAACTACAATAAAAATGAAGCAGTGATACTTAAAGAGGATAGAGGTTCCCTTTACCCCATTATTAGAAATATTGCTTGTGAATCAATATTTGATGTGGGACTGGTATAAAGATACAAAGACATTGATGATAACTAGGATGGAGGAAGGTAAACCAGACTGAAACTGGGCAAATTTGTGATTGAAGGGTTCTGGTACCTGAGGATTAATGTTAACTGTCTAGATATCTTNGGCCGCTGCGGGCCGCTGCAGCGTGACGCACGGCACGTCGCGGCCCGCGGCGGCGTGGCCGGGACCTTTGCCCACGTAGGCGTGTCCGGAAGTTCTCGCAACCCGGTCCCGCCCCTCCAGGCTTGGTTGGTTTGGGCAACTATTGGCGGGTTCAGGATGTAGGGTTTGCAAAGGAAGTTGGCTCCTAGCTAAGTTGCACTTCACATTGTTCTTCAAAATACTCTTGGCGTATCATGGTTTGCATTTAAAAAAGAAAAATATACGGAATGCTTGTCAAAATGTGATAAGGATGACTATTTAGGATGTGAGCATAAATACAAGTGCACCGGTATTTTGCAGTGGGGGAAAGTGGACTCAACTCAAAATACAGCATGTGTACTTTGGATTTTATAGTCCTTTTGGGTCTGTGGATGGATAGTTACTAAGAGGAAACATCAGGGGTAAATGGAATTCTATTTAAGACTTAACGAATTCTTGCTGAAAGCAAGCCAGAGTGATTAGAGGTTACCTGGAGGTAGGCTGAGGGATAAGAATCCTGATCATGTGTGGAGGGTGATCAGATATGGAGGGGGATTCTTGGTAAATTTAGCAAGTTTTTTTGCTAAAACTGAATGTCTAAGGAATTGCACACATGGCCCTAGGAAAAGTTTCAAAAGTTTGATTAAAATTTGCTAAGCAGAATCTGTAAATATCACCAAGGAAATGCCATAGTAAGCTTGGGGAGCCTGATTTATACTTGAGTGTGAGGCCACTTTTTTTTAAGTATTTCTTTAATTGTTGATAGACCTTTGTTCTATTTATTTATTTATTTATTTATTTATATGTGGTGCTGAGAATCAAACCTAGTGCCTCACACATATCAGGTAAGTGAGCCCCAGCGCCTGTGATACCACTTTTTAAATTAAAGGTATATCTGTGTTCATTCTGTGATTTCAATTGATTGGAAAGAAATTTCATGCCTACTGTTTGTCTTCCAGGCACTAATCTCTAACTGACCCCATGAACATCAAAGTGGAGGAATGAACACTCTACCGAGAGAGAATCTAAGCACAGTCTAGACTTTATTTCAGGACTTATGCTGGATCCTAAAGGGAGTCACAGCTCTGACAGTATGTGAGCTTGACTCAAGCAAACAACAAAATGGTGTAGCTTTTATAGCATCTGAGGAGTAGTTGAGAACTGGGCCTCCTGTTATTTTTACATCTAGAGGTAGGGTTTTAGCTGGAATGACAACCATTAGGGAGAAAGAAGACAGTATGGTCCAGGAGGAGGGAGTGGGAAAGAAGGCAAACATTCATCCCTTCCCAGTGACAATGGGTCCTGAAGAGAGGAGGCAAATACTGACACTCGGTCCTGGACTTTCACCCTTTCCCATTGCCCATAAGTCCTGGAAGAAGAAAAGCAAATAAGGAAGTTCTGGGTAACAATGCACCAAGCTCTATTTTTTTTTTTTTTAGAGAAAGAGATAATTTTTAAATATTTATTTTTTAGTTTTTGGTGAACACAACATATTTATCTTATTTTTATGTGGTGTTGATGATCAAACCCAGTGCCCTGCACATGCCAGGTGAGAGCTCTACCACTGAGCCACATCCCCAGCCCCAAGCTCTGGGTTTTTATCCTTTCCCAGTAACCCTGAGTCCTGAAGGGAAAGGCAAACAAATGAACTCTGGGCTCTAAATTTTTATCCCACTAACAATAAATTTCAAGATTTTACAACTGTTTCCCTGAGTTAGAATAAATTTTGAGCTTTTACAGCTGTTTTCCTGAGTTAGATTTTTAACCTGCACAACTACTTTTCTGACTGTATAGGGGATGATGAGGAATTAAATTAGATAACACTTGCAATAAAGCTTAGTATAGTAGGTTTTCTACATCTTTAGTCAGGATTGGATCAGAAATTAAAAAAGGGTGGATTTTGAAGGTATAGGGTTGGGGAAATGAAAGAATATCAGTAAATTTACTTGGAGGGAAGAGGGGGCAAGAACAAAAGAGAATTTCAAGAAATCATGGAGTTTTCATGGTTTGGATGTGAGGTTTCCCCCAAAAGCTCATGTGTGAGGCAATACAAGGTTTAAAGGAGAAAGATTGGGTTATGAGAGTCTTAACCTAATCTGTACATTAATCCCCTGATGGAATTAATAAGTGACCGCTGAAGACAGGAAAGGTATGGCTGAAGGAGGCAGGTCATTGGGGCTATGCCTTTGGGGTATATATTTTGTATCTGGTAAACAGAGCTTTCTGCTTCCTGGTACCATGTTCTGGGCCTCTATCTTTCTCTATACTCTTCTGCCATGATGTTCTTCCTCACTTCAGACCCATAACAGTGGAGTTGGCCATCTATCAACTGAGACCTCTGAAACTGTGAGCCCCAAATAAAGTTGTCTTCCTCTGAAATTGTTCTTGTCAGGTCTTTTGGTTGCAACAGTGAAAACGCTTCCCTATTATTGAAAGTGCTTAAGCAGATGCTAGAAATCCTTTGGGAATTATATGTGATTTTGATCCATTATCTATTATTCCCTAGAACCATACAACTCATGAATGTGAAGGAGAACAACTGAGAGTCCCCTGCCCACAAAACATTATCATCATATCTGCTTTTTATAGTTACAGATACCCCATTGAAAACTTTTGCCTAACTTCAGTGAAATTGGTAGGACCAGTGAAAATGCCACTTGTGTGTCATCCACAGCTAGACAGGTAAGATGCAAATTTCATGAGGGTAAGTGTCCAAGTAGTTTTATATTACAGGGAAGTTTTTCTAATTTTATCTGAGAAAGAAAATGATTGGATAAGAAATTACCAGAGAAAGGTGAGTAAAATGGGCTGGGGTTATGGTTCAGTGGTAGAGCGCTCACCTAGCACATGCGAGGCCCTGGGTTTAATCCTCAGCACCACATAAAATAAATAAATAAAGTTATTGTGTCCAACTATAACTAAAAAATAAATATTTTATAAAAAAGGTGAGTAAAATGGAAAAGAAAGAAAGTCGTATATGGCTTTACTACATCATTTAGGTTAGAAGAACTTTGATTTTAGTTATATAATTAATTTAGCCAATTTCTTTCCTCTCTTATAATTATAGCTAAAATTTCTTGATCATTTACTATGTGTGAGGCATGCTGCTTGGCACAGTGCTTGCATCTTTTCTTTAATCTACATAACAACCCTGTGAAGCAGGTACTACTTTTTTACCACTTAATAGATGAGCAAACTGATATAAGGTAAACTGATTCTCCTGAAGTTATACAGCTAAGTAGCAGGGCCCATTGGTGACTTACATGGGACCTGGACTAAGGGATTTTTTAGTTGGGAAGTCCATAAGAGTTCAGCCTCTAATATAAGCTAAAATATATGTGGAATAAATTGAAAACATTACAATAAATTGTAAACATTCTCCTTAGGGACTACTTTATAGGCAGATTCCTGACTGACCTATCATTTAATCTTATTCATTTAAAAAGGCTACTCTACCCATATTTACTTTCTTAGTAATAATTTAGTCATATTTCTGATACCACCAACTCCACAGAGGTTATTAAAAGATCTCCATGTTGTTAAATTTGATGGATACTTTGATGTCCTTACCTGACCTGAGACAGTCTACCATGCTACTTTTTATTTTATTTCCTTTTATGTGGTGCTGAGGGTCAAATCCAGTGTCTCACACATGCTAGGCAAGCTTCACCAATGAGCTACAACCCCAGTCTCCATGCTACTTTTTTAAACATTCAGTTTTCTTGGTTTCCATGATGCCATTATCTCTTGGTTTTCTTGTTCCATTCAGCTCTTCCTCTCTCATTTCAACTAGCCACAAGTATTACCTGGTCATGGTTCTTACCATTTACAGAACCAGACAACTCAGTTTCTCCGTATGTTAAAAGCTTTCATTTTTATAGTGATTGAATTAAAAAATAGTCTTGCCTAACTTTTGCCAGGAATTAGTATCTCTATTTAATATACAGAGAAATAAAATTTTATGAATATAATTTGTCAACAGTTACAGAGCAAGGAAGTGACAGAGTTGCAATTCAAGGCCTTAGTTTTTACATCTAATCCATCACTGTACAGTCAGCCCTCCGTATCTATGGATTCAACCAACTAAAGATCAAAAATATTCTAAAAATCATGTCTATACTGAACATGTACGGACTTTCATCTTGTCCTGATTCCTTAAACTATACAGGATAACAACTACTTATATAGCATTTATGTTGTATTAAATATTATAAATGATCTACAGATGGCTTAAAGTACATGGGAGGATGTGCATAGGTTATATGCAAATACTGAAATAGTTTATATAAGGGATTTGAGCATCCATCAATTTTGCTATCCCTGGGTGGGCAGTCCTGGAACCAGTACTCCCAGTTACTGAGAGATGACTACGTATTCATTCTTTTTTCATATTTTAGTGAATAGAACTTCTAGGTTGCCGCAGTCTGGCTGGGCACAATTCAGGAGCCACTTGTCAAAAGAAACAAACTTTATTTTTAAAACTACAAACGCCAAACAAAACAGCTCCTCAGGAAAAACCCTCAGAGCCCAACTGNGAAGGAAGGAAGGAAGGAAGGAAGGAAGGAAGGAAGGAAGGAAGGAAGGAAGGAAGGAAGGAAGGAAGGAAGGAAGGAAGGAAGGAAGGAAGGACTGACTTAGCACACAGCAGTTGTTCAATAACTGTTTAAAAAAATAACTCTTATGAGAGTACATAATAATTATTTTAACCTTCTCAATGTAAAATAAAGATTGAACATAAATGAACTAGACATTCAACTCCAGATTGTAGGAGTCAAACATAAATAAGATAAACCAAAAGAACATAAAAATGGTTTTTAAAGTTTTAAACAGAAATTAATTAATTATAAAGCATCGCTTTCAAAACTAGGTTTCATTTTTAAAACCAGGAATTAATTCTTTAAAAGACCAATAAAATAGACAAGGGGCAAAAGAGAAAAAATTAAATAGATGTGTATATACAGATACAGATACATGGCATGGGAAGAGAGATATGGCTATTATACACATCTTACAGGTAACGTAAATGAGAAACCCAATAATCAGAGAAGGAATGGAAAAGATAGTCAAGTATCTACCACCAAAGTAAGCACAAAGTAAGTATCTACCACCTAGTTATCATCAATGTCTTTGTATCTTTATACCAGTCCCACATAAAATACTGATTCACAAGCAATATTTCTAATAATGGGGTAAAGGGAACCTCTATCCTCTTTAAGTATAGGTATACCTTCTAAATTTACTAAATGCAATTATTACATCAATTAAGCTATTCTAGAGCAATAGTTTCATGGAAAAAATGGAGCTCACCAATTTACTTTCAAATTTAATATAATCCTCATTCCAAAACACAAAGAAGTAAAGCTCCTCCAAAAAGGGTTAACCAATTTTATTCATAGATAAATTCTAAATAAAATGTTGGCAAATTGGATGCAAACACATTTTAAATGATTACTACCCTATGAAAGAGGTTGTCCTAGTAATGTAGTACAGTGGTGTGTTGGAGCCCTCTTGCACTGGGTCATGAGAGCATAATAAATACAAACCTCTCCTCAATAATCTCTTCCCACTTTGCCTTTAAGTTGATTGTTAATCACCTGCCAGCACACCACTTAATATAAATATAATTTAGCAATACAAAAGTGAAGAAATGTGGGCTGGGGATATAGCTCAGTTGATAGAGTGCCTCACATGCACAAGACCCTGGGTTCAATCCTCAGCAACACACACACACACACACACACACACACACACACACTCAAATAAAAAAAAGAATGTGATTATGTTAAAGATGGTAGAGATGCTGCCATTCAAAATAAAGTAGAGGGGCTAGGATTGTGGCTCAGTGGTAGAGCTCTTGTCTAGCATGTGCGAGGCCCTGGGTTGAATCCTCAGCACCACATAAAAATAAATAAACAAAATAAAGGTATTGTGTCCAACTACTTCTAAAAAAATAAATATTTTTTAAAAATAGAAATGGATGGAAACTTTCTAAATATGTTAAGTATTTGAAGCTAACAGTGAAACATGGGATCAATTCACATTAAAGTCAGGGACAAGGCAGGCTCATTTGGGGTGTGTGTGTGTGTATGTGTGTGTGTGTGTGTGTGTGTCTGTCTGTCTGTCTCATAGAAGCAGGGTGATTGCTAGTTCCTGTTTATCAGGTTCTGTCAGCATAATGTCATCAACATAATGGGCAGGCATGGTATTTGTGGGATGTTAAGGTATTTGGAGTTCTTCAAGTCTATGTTCTGACGAAGAACAAGGGGGCTGGCATTGCTCTGAGATACGAGTAATAAACAATATTATCATTCCTACCTCATAAATGCAAATATGTTCTGATTTTGCTTCTCAATGGGAATGAAGAAAAAGCTTCTTTCTAGATAAATAGTTCCATATCAGGTGTCTGAGTCTGTGTTAATTTACTTTAAAACAGGTATAATATCTGGAATTGCAATTGTTTTTTGGTATCACCACCTGTTTGAATTTGTGGTCTGCTGCCATGTTCTATCTCTCATTTGGCTTTTGTAATGGCCAAACAGGGGCAATAAGGAAAACAGTTACTCTCTTGTAAAGCAACTATCTCAGTTTGGTCACTGAAAAGCTTTTATGCAAAGGAAGAATCATTGCTTTAGAGACTGGGGAGAGGTTGATTCCTCAGGCAAAGATGGTTCAGGGGGATTTGGAATTTTGAAATTCTTAGCTTCATCCATGTCTGCCTAAGTGTCCCCATCCCAGGTCTTAGAGTTCCATTCTTTCCCACCAGTGCCCTTACCATAGCATAATGGAACTGGGGATGAGGAGAGTTGAGCATTTGTCACTACAACTCTGTAACTCTTGTCCTTAATCACTAAGTCACATCTGCCTACAACCATAGGATATGGAGAACTACAAAGATCTCTGTTCATAATTCCTCATAATAACTATTGACCAAAGGTAGAGATGGGGATATGGCTCAGTTGGTAGAGTTTTTGCCTCACACATACAAGGCCCTGGGTTCAGTCCCCAGCACCATAATAATAACAACAACAACTATTGACCAAAGGTAGAAAATTCTTTTTTAAAGTTAAACTTACAGAATCTAAGACTGTTTGTCCCATATCTGAAATCCATCGGAAGATCTTTAAAGCATTCATTAATTCTCTTGAAAGGACTAAGTACATACCATTAAGGTGCCAGTAGAATTCCCTCGATAAGTCATCCATTTCTTCCCATCAAGACTATACATGATAATAAATTGAGAGATATAGAGGCTGGAGAACTTCTGACGGGCACCCTGGGTCTTGATGCCATGAATAATCATTGGTGCCAACAGATCTACCTATCAATTAAAAAAACCATTTTATTTAAACCTGTTTTAAAAAGTGTGTAATATCTTCTGAAATTAATTATGGGTTTAGTAAGAATCTACATTGCTACAGATGTGTGTATTGTTATCTTGGATATACAGGAGAAACAGACACAAATTTTGAAAGCTGAACATATTTGTGTGGCTGTGGGATAAATGGTGGGAATGAGTAGAAAAGGTGCTTATTGAGCCCCTGCTTCCTAATAAACCAAATTCCAAATCATTGAATCGTTTCCTCTATATGAACATCCACTCTGCCTGTGGGCAAGGCTTTTTGCCTTTTAGGCCCTCTCACTAAAATAGATGCCTACCCCAACTTCCCTCGTTTTAGAAAATGAAAAATTAAACATGTCATTTGCATTTGCAGCTCATGTTCTATTTCCATTGAACAGTGCTATCTAGAGGAAATAGGAAAGTGAGAAAATCTGAAAACCTAAGTCTTTTAAAAGCAATTGAGAGGCTGGGATTGTGGCTCAGTGGTAGGGTGTTTGCCTAGCATGTATTAGGCACTGGGTTTTAGTTCTCAGCACCACATATAAATGAATGAATTAAATAAAGGTTCATCAATATCTGAAAAAATATTTTTAAAAAAGCAATTGAGTTAAACTAAACACATTATTTGAAGTATTAATTCTATCTTAGTTCACCAGATTACACTAAATTTAACTATGCATTTCATACTGTCAAGTGGTGTATGATTGATGAAAAAGATCAACTCGGTTTTAGAAAGGTAGCTACGGTGTCCTTGCTTGAAAGGTAGGGGATTGAACCACTTGTTTTGTGTTAAAATGAATAATTTTGGAGGACTGAAGGACATTTACTCGTTTAAAGGCATCTAACAATAGAATACACAGTCTTAGGTGTGATTGGAAATTACTGCAATATGAAGGACATGTATAATGCTTTGAGCTTGCAAGAGGATAATTAATATAATCAAATATGATATAATTCCCCTCATTCATTAACTTCTCTAACCTTGATCCATGAAAAGGGCTCCTTGGTACTCCAGGCATTGATTGATCCAGAATAATGAAGTCTGGCCAGCTTTGGGGCCCACTGTCCTTTGCCCAGGAAAGGGGAGAGGAGAGAGATTATATTCAACTAGGTTGGTCCTTAGACACGTGGAAACAAGATAGAGAAAGATATAAAAACTTTGAAGCCTAGCAGTATTGATAACTAAGACTTTTGCTTATTATTGTTGTAAACTTCTAAACTTTAATACTTTAATAACTTTGTCGATTGTTAGCACCTGAATTTAGTTGATACTGGAATTTGATACCAAATGATATTGGACAAATTATATTGTTATACTATATGCATGTATGAATATGTAATAACAAATTTCACCGTTATATTTATCTGTAATGTACCAATAAAATATGGTAAAATAGAAAAGAAAATAGCCTGGTATGATGACACACACCTATACTTCCAGCAACTCAGAAAGCTGAGACTTGAGGATCATGAGTTTGAGGCCAGCATCAGCAATTTAGCGAGGCCCTCAGCAACTTAATGAGACATTGTCTCAAAATAAAAATTAAAAAGGGCTGGGGATTTGGCTCAGTGATTCAGTGTCCTTGGGTTCAATCCCCAGTAACAACAACAATAAATACCCCAATATTTAAGAACTCTATAAATTCTATTCAACCATTACTTCTTACATAAAAGTGAAGAGAATGGGCTTAAGGGAACAATACTGAAAGTGGAGAGAATATTTAAGGAGGCAGTGTCACTGTCTAGGTGAGAAATGAAAGTGGCCTGAATTAAGATGGTCACAGTGCAAAATGGAGAGGACAAGATGGATTTGAGTTCCATTGATGGAGTATAATTAATAAAAGCATGGAGGTGGATTAGTTATCTGCAACTATCCAACAGAAATTTTAAAAAGATATATTCATTCCCAGGTTCTTGGAGTGAAAAATAATAGTATTTACCATATTGTCCTGAAGCTGTGATCTGAAAATCTCTAATGTGTCCAGAAGCCATTCCCAAGGGAATCTGACACTCTGAAATCAAACAATAATATTCAATTTAAATGTAATAATGGTATGAGCTTGTATTATATTTCTCAACAAAGGCAATAATTCCAAGGAGGAGGAAAGCTATACAAAAGTAGGCTAAGATTGGTGGCAGTAGTGCACACCTGTAATCCCAGCAGCTCAGGAGGCTGAGGCAAGAGGATCTTGAGTTCAAAGCCAGCCTCAGTAACTTAGTGAGGCCCTAAAAACACTTAGCAAGACCCTGTCTCTAAATAAAATAGAAAGAAGGGCTGGGGATGTGGCTCAGTGGTTAAGTGCTCCTGAGTTCAATCCCCAGTACCAAAAAAAAAAAAAAAATAGGCTAGGTAGGTTAGGTAGGTGGGTAACCTCTACCCACAGTGCTACTCACGCTTGCTGTACACCAGAAAAAGAGTGCTCATCCCTGCATATAGGTGCTCTCCAATAAGGCATTGTATCCGCCAAATTCCAGGTTTGGATGGTAGCATTTCTAGTGTCCCAAAAACACCTTTTCAAAACCAAAAGGAACAAAAAAAAATGAGCACAAATATATTGACTTATATAGAATATCAAAGAATATCTACCAAATTCAGTTCCTCCACTGCTTTCTATGTGATTCCTCTAGTTGGAGCACTTGGAGATTGAATTTTGACCACTTCCCTCCCAGAAAATCAGACAGGGTCACTAGATGCTTTGATCATGGATACAGGAGAAGGCTACTCCTATAATATTAGGACTGGCCTACACTCCCATGGGTTTTCAGAGCAAAAAACCTGTTTCCTATTGATCTGATATGGGATCTAAGGGAGCCTATTGAGGGGTTGGGAGGGCATAATAAGCACAAAGCAGAGAAACCATGTTTCTTTTTTCCAATGCAGACTTCTAACTTGATGTAGGCCCAAGGCGGTGGTGGGAAGATTGAAGTTAAATCAACTACAGAATTTTTGTCAATACCCTGAAATGGACATTATAATTTCTGACTTGAACTGTATGTGACATATGAAGTACAGGTTTGTTTGTTATTTAAGAGTTACCAAGCTGGGCGCTGTGGCACACACCTATAATCTCAGTGGCTGGGGAGGCTGAGATTGGAGGATCGCAAGTTCAAAGTCAGCCCCAGCCAAAGCAAGGTGCTAAGCAACTCATTGAGACCCTGTGTCTAAATAAAATACAAAATAGGGCTGGGGATGTGGTTCAGTGGGYGAGTGCCCCTGAGTTCAATCCCCAACTGAGGAGAAAAGTCACAGGACTTACTGGAATATTTATGAGGAAAGAGGGGAAATTTATCCCCACTATTAAACCTGTTTTAGTGGAAAACCAAAATAGTGTTTCAGTCAACATTGTCATATACACTGGTTACATACTTAAATAAATCACTCCTTGAATAACTAGTGGTATAATACTGGATTTGAGAAGGAAAAATGAAAATATTCCTGGGAAGATGCTGTGACATTAATCATCCATTTATTCTGTTCTAATCCCTTTGTAACAATTTTTATATACTTGAAATAATCTTATTCATTTGCTAATTGATTTATCTTTCTGTACATTAAAGTTACTTGACTTGCTACTTGAAAGCAAGGAGCTTGTGTGCTTTGTGCAGTGATTGTATTCATGCAAAGTAAGTACTCAAGTACTGTAAGTAAAAGAACACAAAGAAGGTCATACCTGGATAGAGGTTGTACACTGCCATTTTATACTCCTCTTTTTTTCGTACAGTGAACACATGTCCACTGAAATGAATAGAATGGATGTTTTCATTGCTGCCCATGCTGAGCAGATACCATCGAATCCTTTGATCTTGAGCCATTACTAAACCAGGTAGTGTATCCATCACATAGCCATTGATTGCTGGAGAAGAACAGAGAAAGCTGTTAAAATTTATTGTAGAAGTTTCTTTCCCTTCAGTCTACCAAAAATACTGACAGCTGTGCGGATTCCAGTCCTGCATGTATACTTTCAAGTCATGCAATGATCAAGTCTCTGGGTCAAGGCTCATTGGAATAAGTGCATGCTATATTGGGGTGTAGAATCTGTTACCATGGAAACGATAATTATCTTTAAAAGTTGGGTCTTCCATTTGGATATTGCAGGGTGCCCTGCAGTTCCTTTCCATGTTTTCTCGGAAATACCAGCTCTTGGTCTCATCAAAGATAGTGAAAAACAGAGCAAATTCCTGCACTGTCACTTGTCTTCCATGAGCAGGGTTCAGAGTGTTAGTGTGACAAATCAGAAGGGGTCCAATCAAGCCTGAGTGCACATCTCTTTCCTAGGGAGGGAAGACATCAACACTATTAGTGTTAAGCTCTCTCACCTACAGACTAGACTTCTCATCAACTTTCCTGCCATTTTAACCTTTCTCCCATAGAACAGTTCATCTATTTCAGTAGATTCTATGTGAAGTTTCTAAAACACAAAAATTTAAAGATTTTCATTGTGCTTAGGATAAATACCAAAATTTTTAGCACATAAACAAAAAGATCATTTCTTTTAAACCAGAAAATACCCAGCACAATGAAGACCTACTTACCAGATCAACATCAGAGAAATAAGCCCAAGCTTTGCAGTCAAACTCATCTTTAGTGGGTGCCATATGATATTGTACTTTCCAAAAGTAAGTTTTCGTTTCATTCGGCTTGACAAAGTTTTTTCTAGGTTCTGTTCCTTGTCCTTGATCTTCCTTATAAGAAATTAGGCTAGAATAGAAGGAGTAGGGACGAGAGGCCTGGTTTTTGAAAGTTACCTGCAGAGAAAACACGCACATACACACAAAAAAATCAAGATAACAACAATAACAAAACAATGAAAGAGAAAATTATTTTTAAAGCAATTTTTTAATACTTACTTTTTAGTTGCAGTTGGACACAATACCTTTATTTTATTTATTTATATGTGGTGCTGAGGATCGAACCCAGGGCCTCACATATGCTAGGCGAGTGATCTACCACTGAGCCACAACCCCAGCCCCAAGAGAAAATTCTTGAATAGAATGGGAGAGAATGTTTGGTTGTTTACAATGTATAAAGCAAAAGACTCATGTCAAGATTATATAGGATACTTCTTGGAATCCATAAGAAAAAAGCAGATTATCCAGTACAAAAATTGGCAAAACAAAAAAACAACAAAAAAAACTTGGAGAGACGCTCCACAAAAGAAGATATCCACATTACTGCTACTTATGAAAATATTGCCAACCTTATTTATCAGGGAAATGCAAAATAAAACCACAATGACACACTACTATGCAACTTAAAGGTAATTTCCAAGTAAAAGGATGTATCTTCATGATACATTCCAGGATTAATGCATATTATCTTTGAAAAAGATTTGTTTTAAAGACTTTTTTCAATTTGAAAAAGTACACATTATATAGCATGTGGAAAGTAAAATAAAATTCAAGTCAGAAAAAAAATGTACCCATAATCCCATAATTTTAGATCCTTGTGCATCCTTACTATAAAAAATCAACTAGGAACATGGCTGGCTATTTTGAACAGAAAATAAAATGACTTTGGTCTCACATGATGTACCAAAAGAACATCTAGTTTATGGGAATTATTGATGGATTAAAAAGAAAAATGCAAATAATTAAGGTATAAAAGAAAGTATAAGTGATTCTTTTAAGTATCTGGGTAGGAAGGGACTTTTATAAACATAAAGCCAATGAAAATGTCAAAAAGGAAGAATTTCTCAGGTTATATCAGTCTTTACATCCACAGACCTGAATCTTCCCACTGCCTCTGTGCTTTCTGAAAACTCAGTGAAGTCTTACTAATTCTAGAAGATGAAAGCTTGTGTTCACTTAATTAGCACACCTAGAGAACACTAATAATATTTATAATTTTTTCAAAAGGAACAACCAGTTCTTAACTTGGTGTTTGTGCTTTCAGATGGGGAGGGCAAATCATTAATTAAATTCAAAGTGAGAATGACTTTCAACTATGAATCTAGATTCTGCATCATAAAACCACGGAGTATTATCATACAATAGTAAATACCTGTGACTGTTACAAAAGTAATCACTGGTACTTTCGTATTTCCTCACATGGTATGGTTATCTTGAAATATTGTTAATATTGTTAATATAATTACTAGCTCTACTAAAGTAACATCTAAGAAATTTGGTTTACTACGAAACTGGCTCTCAGAAGTGCCCTGAAGAAAGATGAATATAGTAGAGTTCCTTTATTTATCCCAGCACAGCAAGATTTACTCTGTGTCCTGAAAATCCATAATGTACAATGGCAACCTGAAATATGTAAGATCACGTGGCCAAGTATGTCTTCTTTCTGCAATATGTTGATTAAAACTTCACTAGAAAGCTCCAGATTCTGGGGCTGGGGATGTGGCTCAAGTGGTAGATGCTTGCCTAACATGAATGAGGCACTGGGTTTGATTCTCAGCACCACATAAAAAAATAAAATAAAGATATTGTGTCCACCTAAAACTAAAATATAAATATTTTTAAAAAGAAAGAAAGCTCCAGATTCTACCAAAAGAATTTTTTTGTATCACCCAAATCCTACAGTAGTCATTTTTCCTTAAAAATATTAATAAATATATAAGAACAATGAAAAAGGAAAATTTAATAGATAATTCATATGAAAAGGTCTTAAATTATTCATGGATTTTGACTGGACACTTACATAGTGAAAAAAGAAACAGTCTGAAACACTGATCAAAGTAAATGGCTAAGTAAACAGTGGTTCCATAAATTCATATGATAGCTAATTATGTAATCATTCCTGCTTAGGAAGTGTTTTTGATGACAAAAAAAATGTTAATTATATGACATTTGGTAAAAAAAGAAGCAGAATTACATATGATATAATTTTCAATACAGAAAGAAAAACACATAGGAAAAAAAACATAAAAATTAACTAAGGGGTTATTTTTCAACTTCTTTATTTTTCTGTACTTTAATTTTTTCAGTTGTTAGATTTCATCATATCTTTATTTTTATTTATGTATTTTTATGTGGTGCTAAGAATTGAACCCAGGGCCTCACACATGTGAGGAGAGCACTCTACCACAGAACTGCAAATCCAGCCTTAGAGAACATTATTTTTATAATCAGAAATTGGGTATCAACCTACTTTATATACAAACAGAGATATGAAAAATTGTGGTATACATGTGTAATAAGAATTGTAATGCAAATAAACAAAGTACATGTATAAAGACATGAATTGGTGTGAACATACTTTATATACAAAGATATGAAAAATTGTGCTCTACATGTGTAATAAGAATTGTAATGCATTCCACTATCATGTATTTAAAAAAATAAAATCAATATTAAAAAAGGAAACAAAATAAATATGTGGAATTAATTTTCTTGTAATTCCACTGTCTTTAACTCACCACAATATTGTCTTCAACTTCTGCTCTTATATATGGCCCCAAGAGTCCCAAGTGTTCATTTAGTTCTCCACGGTATAAGGGTTGAGTAAAGGAGCCATCAGTAAATTCCTGGAAAACTACCTTCTTGAACTGAGGAACACTGCCACTCTGATCCCTGGAGAAAATGTAGAGGAAAAGTAGTATCCTCATGGACCAAGTAGGTAGAAATGCCTCACATACTTCTTTTCCTGTATTTTAGATACATTTAATAGAATTGATGATGGATTGCAAGTGCAATGGGTCAGAGAGAAGAGAAAGAAGAATTATAGATAATTTGGGGGTTTCTGGTTGGGACAAATGAATGGATGGCATGCAATTCACTGAGATGGAAAATCCTAGAGGAGGGGTTGGTTACCGTGTACGGTTTTGGACATATGGTACATCTATGTGTATCACACTGGCAAATACACAGAGGTAAGGAGTTTACAAAAGCAATCTAGATGAAGATTGTCTATATTTAGATGGTATCCAAGTGAACTTTTAGTTTCTCCTTTTACTAGACAGCTAAATAACATTATGTTTAGTTAACCATTCCATCCTCTTGTACTACTAAGTTCCATGAAAGGAGGTAGTTTTGCCTGTTGTATTCACTACTATATTCCCAGCAGCTGGAAGAGTACCTGACACAAAGTAGTTAGTACTCAAGAATATTTTTAAATATTGAAAGAGTATAGTTTATAAACATAGTCTAAATATGAGAGCCCCAAGATCCAGTCCTTGGACCTTTTTTCTTTACTTTTTTTTTTAATTAAATTGTGCAGCTTGGGTTGTAGCTCAAAGGTAAAGCACTTGCCTAGTGTGTATGGGGCACTAGGTTCAATTCTCAGCACCTCATATAAATAAATGAACAAAATAAAGGTCCATCAATGTCTAAAAATATATATTAAAAATTAAATTGTGAATTAAATCATATACATATATACACATACACACACACACAATAAAGTGCATACAATATAAATGCTTTTCATTCAAAAGTGCAACCATTACCCAGATGAAAAACATTGCCAGGAGACTCACTCTTTGCCCATTCCAATCATAGCCTCTCCCCTCTGCACTAGATAACCAGTATTTTGATGTTGATGATAATCATTTATTTGATTTTCTTCACAATTTTTCTTCACATCTTTAAAGAATATGGTTCAGCCTTACCTGCTTTTTGAAGTGTATAAATAGAAACACACATATATCATTTTGTTTCTTGATTCTTTCACTCAGAATCTTAATTGTTAGATTCATTTCCTTTGTTATATAGTATTCCATTATGTGAATTTACCCTAATCGTGGACATTTGAGTTATTTCTAAATTTTTGATGTTTACAAATACAGGTGTTTGGTTCCAGATATGAACCAAAGCAGCTACAACATTCTCATTTTAATCAACAATGTTAAGAGTTCCCTTTGCTATATTCTCACAAATATTTGATATTGACTGTATTTTGATATTTGAGGACATTCTGGTGGTTGCATAGTAGTGTGTCATTGTGGTTTTATTTTGAATTTCCCTGATCAATAAGGTTGAGAATCTTCATGAGTAGCAGTAATGTGGATATCTTCTTTTATGGAGCTTCTCTCCAAGTTTTTTTTCTTTTTGGCCAACTTTTGTTGTACTGGATAATCTGCTTTCTTCTTATTGATTCTGAGAAGAACCTTATATAGTCTTAACATGAGTCCTTTGCCTTATACCTTGTAAACATCCAAACATTCTCTCCCATTCTGTAGCTAAACTTCTCTTTATGTTCAGAATTTTAATGTAATAAAATTTATTTTTAAAATCCTTCTTCATTAATGTTTTTTGTATCTTGATATCAAATCTTTTTTCTTCCCTACCCAGAGATTAGGAGATTCTCTTATTTTTTCTTCCTAAGATATTTATGCTTTTATCTTTCATTTCTGTACTAGTGACCCAATGTGAGTGGGCATTTTTGGTATATGTTGTGAGCAAGGTGTCAAGTTTAATGTCTTTTTTGTATGGATATTTCCCAGCATATTATAATGAAAATAAATCAAGTGTCTATATGAATATTGTTAAAGTCTATTTTTATTGTTTTTATTTACCTGTTTGCTTATCTCTGTGCCAATTATCAAATTGTTTTAATTACTATAGCTTTAAAATGAGTCTGAATATGTAATACAACAATTCCTCCCATCTTGCTGGTCTTCATGAAAGTCTTGGCAATTCTTGACCCTTTGCACTTTTGTATTAATTTTAAAAATAGTTTGTTGAGTTCTACAAAAGAAAAGACTTGTCGGGATTTTCATTCAAGTTGCACTGAATCATAGATTAGTTTGTGAATAATTTACGCTTTCAGATACCATGTTTTGAGTCCACATACATAGTATATCTCAGCATTTATTTAGATATATTTAAGTTTCTCAGTAATTGTCATAGAAAATTCTTTTTTCACCCTTATTTTATTTATTTATTTTTCTGTGGTACTGAGGATCAAACCCAGTGTCTCACGTGTGCTATGCTAGCACTCTACTGCTGAGCCACAAGCTTAGCCTCATAGACAATTCTATGTAAACTTTTTGAAATACTTATTTCTAGGTATTTGTTACTATTTTATTTCATTCTGCATGTTGATTTCACTTCTGCATGTTGTTTCTCACGTGACCAACACACCTTCACCTAACTTGGCTCCAAGTATGGGTTCTTCTAGAAAGTGACTATGTTGGTTTATATTCACTCTCAAGAGAGAAATCTCAAGATCAAATTAGAAAGAAACCATAACAATAAAAATCATTGGACTGGGGCTGTAGCTCAGGGGTAGAGCACTTGTCTAGCACGTGCAAGGCCCTGGGTTCGATCCTCAGCACCACATAAAAATAAATAAATAAAATAAGGGTATTGTGTCCAACTACAACTAAAAAAATAAATAAAAATATTTTCAAAAAATTATAATGGGAAAATACTTGGGAATCAACTTAATGAAACAGGTGAAAGATCTATACAATGAAAACTACAGAACCCTAAAGAGAGAAATCAAAGAAGACCTTAGAAGATGGAAAGTTCTACCTTGCTCATGGATAGGCAGAGTTAATATTATTAAAGTGGCCATACTACCAAAAACAGTATATAGATTTAATGCAATTCCAATCAAATTTTCAGTGGCATTCCTCATAGAAATAGAAAAAACAATCATGAAATTCATCTGGAAAAATAAGAGACCCAGAATAGCTAAAGCCATCATTAGCAGGAAGAGTGAATCAGGTGGTATCACTATACCAGACCTTAAACTATACTACAGAGCAATAGTAACAAAACCAGCATGGTATTGCCACCAAAACAGACTGGTAGACCAATGGTACAGAATAGAGGACACTGCTGCGCCCCTCCCCTGACTCAGGCAATGGCAAGGCCCTACTGAGGTGGATGGCGCAAGGCATCCATCCTCTGGAGAAGCACAGTATGTTTCTGGGAATGGGATGACTTGTTTTTGTATTCCTTTAATAAGTATAGTTG